ACACATTTGTGATATCGCCTCTGACCTAGTCCTAACATAACTATGAAAATGCATTAAAAATGATTTTATTATGAAAATGCATTGCAAATAACTTTACTATGAAAATGCATTGCCAACGATTTTATTATGAAAATGCATTGCCAACGATTTTACTATGAAAATGCATTGCCAACGATTTTACTATGAAAATGCATTGCCAACGATTTTACTATGAAAATGCATTGCCAACGATTTTACTATGAAAATGCATTGGAAATGATTTTACTATGAAAATGCATTGGAAATGATTTTACTATGAAAATGCATTGGAAATGATTTTACTATGAAAATGCATTGGAAATGATTTTACTATGAAAATGCATTGGAAATGATTTTACTATGAAAATGCATTGCAAATGATTTTACTATGAAAATGCATTGGAAATGATTTTACTATGAAAATGCATTGGAAATGATTTTACTATGAAAATGCGTTGGCAAATGAATTTACTATGAAAATGCATTGGAAATGATTTTACTATGAAAATGCATTGGAAATGATTTTACTATGAAAATGCATTGGAAATGATTTTATTATGAAAATGCATTGAAGATGATTTTATTATGAAAATGCATTGGAAATAACTTTACTATGAAAATGCATTGCCAACGATTTTACTATGAAAATGCATTGCCAACGATTTTACTATGAAAATGCATTGGAAATGATTTTACTATGAAAATGCATTGGAAATGATTTTACTATGAAAATGCATTGGAAATGATTTTACTATGAAAATGCATTGGAAATGATTTTACTATGAAAATGCATTGGAAATGATTTTACTATGAAAATGCATTGCAAATGATTTTACTATGAAAATGCATTGGAAATGATTTTACTATGAAAATGCATTGGAAATGATTTTACTATGAAAATGCGTTGGCAAATGAATTTACTATGAAAATGCATTGAAATGATTTTACTATGAAAATGCATTGGAAATGATTTTTTACTATGAAAATGCATTGGAAATGATTTTTATTATGAAAATGCATTGAAGATGATTTTATTATGAAAATGCATTGGAAATAATTTTTACTATGAAAATGCATTGCCAACGATTTTTTACTATGAAAATGCATTGCCAACGATTTTACTATGAAAATGCATTGGAAATGATTTTACTATGAAAATGCATTGAAATGATTTTACTATGAAAATGCATTGGAAATGATTTTACTATGAAAATGCATTGGAAATGATTTTACTATGAAAATGCATTGGAAATGATTTTACTATGAAAATACATTGGAAATGATTTTATTATGAAAATGCATTGGAAATTATTTTACTATGAAAATGCATTGGAAATGATTTTACTATGAAAATGCATTGCAAATGATTTTACTATGAAAATACATTGGAAATGATTTTATTATGAAAATGCATTGGAAATTATTTTACTATGAAAATGCATTACAAATGATTTTACTATGAAAATGCATTGGAAATTATTTTACTATGAAAATGCTTACAAATGATTTTACTATGAAAATGCATTACAAATGATTTTACTATGAAAATGCATTGGAAATGATTTTACTATGAAAATGCATTGGAAATTTTTTTAGTATGAAAATGCATTAAAGATGATTTTATTATTAAAATGAATTGCAAATGATTTTACTATGAAAATGCATTAGTAAATGATTTTACTATGAAAATGCAAGACAAATAATTTCATCATGAAAATCCATTGCAACTAATTTTACTATAAAAATGCATTACAAATGATTTTAATATGAAAATGTATTGCCAACTGATTTTACTATAAAAATGCATTAGAAATGATTTTAATATGAAAATGCATTGCAACTGATTTTACTATGAAAATGCAATGGAAATGATTTTACTATGAAAATGCATTGGAAATGATTTTAATATGAAAATGCATTGGAAATGATTTTACTGTGAATATCCGGTGCAAAGGATTTTGTTATGAAAATGTACTGAAAATGATTTACCATGAAAATGCAGTGGCAATGATTTTACAATGAAAATGCATTGTTAATGATTTTATTATGAAATCTCGGAGGTCAACCCAGAGTTTCATGTGTCCTCATTCGTCAGGACTCACAATAATAATTTTATTCTTAAAAATTATATTCTATAACAATCAATACAACCATTTCCTCTCTCAAACCTAATGAGTCGAAACTCTTGAGTCGGCCCCCGGATAAGTATAGTATATTTAAATTACTTCCGCTACAATATATATATATATATATATATATATATATATATATATATATATATATATATATGCATCGTGTTTCTTTGTTGTGTTTTTTAGTGCCACATCAACTTGCATCGGTGGATGACAAGATGAAATTCTCTCAAGAAATTATTGATTTCTTTGCTTTAAATTAGCCCAGTCAGTAGAAAAATGCAAATTATTTTTTTACAATGATTTTCAAGGCCCAAGAGCAATTCGAGGTAGAAGTTTACAGAGTAAAAGGCGCGATATATGAGCATACGTTAGGAAGATAATGGTTAACCCTAGACTTGAACATGTTAAGGCTGATCGTGGAAGGATCTTCTGGAGAATCGGTTCCACAAAGCAGCAGTCAAATGCAAATATATATATATATATATATATGTGTGTGTGTGTGTGTGTGTGTGTGTGTGTGTGTGTGCGTGTGTTTGCGTGTGTGTATGATAATGTTTGACTTTCCTCCTTTATATATATATATATATATATATATATATATATATATTAATTAGGAGGCATGATGGAGTAATGGATATCGGCTTGGATTGAGGAATCGTAGAGCCGAGTCCGAATTCCAGTGAAATCCATTATATTCACTTACGTGCTAATACCCTTGGGAAAGATATGAATCATCTCTCTCCAGCTATGGGTAAATAGCAGGGCAGACTGGGTTCTATAGCCTTGGATGGCAACTCTGAATTCAAAACCTGCGGAGGGTCGTTTGGGGACCTTGTGGCACGTAGTGCACCAGGTCTCTGTATTCGGCCCTTCAAAAAGTGTGGATGGTCCTGCACGAAACCTTCACCACTATAATCAAATCTCATATGCTGTTCTCGGGCTGTCGGTTTAGTGGGAACTGATCTGCTTGACCCTCGTACGTCGGATTCGACGAAAGAGTCGAGCGAGCGATATATATATATATATATATATATATATATATATATATTTGTGTTTGTGCGTGTGTATGTGTGCATGTATTTGGCAATCAGTATAGATTTAAATAACGAATGATAGAAAATACCAACGCACAAAAATAAACAAGCCCGAATTAAAAATAAGGAAAGAAGGCTTGGAGAATTTGATACTCACGGACAGATTAAAGGCAAGATAGACATAGAATATCAGCCCATAACCTACCTAGCAGGCTTGAGTAAATCGATGGTTGAACAAGGTTTAGGAGGGATAACTAAAAACATTTAATCTGTAAGACCAGTCCTTCTATATCGCAGTGAATGCTGGACACTGTCCTCGCAGATGAAGAAGAGACATGAAGCAACAAAAATGTGGTTCAACAGAAGGATGATGAGGACCGAACAGTTGAACAAGGACGAAGTTTTAGAGAAAATGGAAACTAAAAGGAAACTTATACTTAACTTTCAGGAAGAGACAGTTGACATTTCTAAAGTACTTAATGAGGAAGGGAGGCTTGAATGATCTGATTACTCACAGGAGAAATTGAGGGACAGAAAAAAAATAACGCATAAGCTCGTGAGCTTGAGTAAATGGATCTTGGAACAGATTTTAGGAGACATAACAAAAAAAGACAACATTTATTTAGATATACAAAGTACAGGAAGTTGTGGAGAGCATCAAGGTACACGGCACATAGAAGAAGACTTTTTCCTTTCGCTACTGCTCGACCCCACCAAACCACAGCGCCCGTCGACAAGAGCACGTTCGTTTTCAACCATTTTTTAAAAGCATTTCACCCCAAGCAAGGCGGGGTGCCACTAATACTCAGGGTGTTACAGAGTGGGAGCGAAAGTAAAGAGGTGTAATGGAAGAAAGGATAAAAGACAACAGCAGGGGATATAGTTCAGGGCATCTGGAGATGTCGATTGACATTACATTTGAACAGTTGGAGATTATAGCTATCAGGTAAACAAGTAATAGGAAGGGAATTCCACAGGCGAGAGGTGCGGGACATGAAGCTATTGGAGTAGAAGAGACGGCCACATTTAACCGTTTCGATAGCGAAAGGGTGGGACCGTGATGCCAGCCTAGTAGCACGCTTAAATTCATGCAGTCTGGGGACTAGCGACAGTAGCTCGTCGGAGCAGTTACCGTGAAAGTATTGGTAGAAAAGACAGAGGGAGGCGACGGCACGTCTGTGAGAGAGCGACTGAAGACGAGATACCAGATCAGGACCAACCACATTCAAACATATACTTAGGCTCGAACCCCCATGAGCCATGGTCCACCTGTATTACTAGACTAGCTTCCGGATTATAACTTGGTCTGTACTGATGTAGCTTTTCAATCCAATTTGTGACGTCAGCAGTTGCCGAGCAACAGTCGTGACGTCAATAACTCAAAGGACTCTTTAACAGATCAGAGAAACAAATTGACTGTCTTATCGAACGAAATATTGCCTGAACTGTGTCTTCTATAGACATAGTTTTTTTTTTTTTTTATTTCATTTACTTTTTAATTTTCTTGTTATAACATCCGATAAACAAGTTTATGTTCTATGGCACGCTTTCCTCATTTGTATCTCTTTTCCTCTGCATATGTTTTTACTTGCCTGGCTTGTCCGTGTATTCATATCATGGCCGACTTCCGTTAGAAGGAAGATATGAACACAGTGAAACGGAAAGAAAGGTGTATTAAAAAAGAAAGGAAGAAGAAAGAAAGGTGTATTAATGAAGAGAAAAGAAAGAAAAGTGAAAGAAAAAAGAAAGAATGATACATTAAGGAAGAGAAAATATAGAAAAGGTGAATTGGAAAGAGAGAAAGAAAGGTGTATTAATGAAGAGAAAAGAAAGAAAGAAAGAAAGAAAGAAAGTGCATTAAGAAAGAAAGAAAGAAAGACGGAAAGAAAAGAAAGTAACAAAGAAAGAAACAAAGAAAGAAAAGACAGAAAATGAAGAAAGAAATGAAGAAAAGAAAGTAACAAAGAAAGAAAGAAAAGAAATAAAGAAAGAAAGAAAGGAAAGAAACAAACAAACAAAAGAAAGAAACAAAGAAAGAAACAAAGAAAGAAAACAAAGAAAGAAAGAAAGAAAGAAAGAAAAGAAAGAAACAAACAAACAAAAGAAAGAAAGAAAGAAAGAAAGAAAGAAAGAAAGAAAAGAAAGATAAGTTCATTAATAAAGAAAGAAAGGAAAAAAGAAAGAAAGAACGTGTATTAATGCAGAGACAAGAACAATGAAATAAAGAAAAAGCTGTATTAAGGAAGAAAAAATAAAGAAAGGTGAATTAAGAAAGAAAGAAAGAAAAAAGAAAGAAAGAAAGAAGGAGAAACTGAATGAGATTTGTTAATAGATAAATACAAATTCAGAATGATAGCTAGCTAGATAGATATCTATAGATAGATAGATTTTAACAGACTTTTAAACACTAACGTTTTTTTTTTTTAATTGCGTCGTGACAAGTTTGTAAGATTTGTCTCAACCCACCCTGATGATAACTTAAGAAAGTCGAAACCTTGGCTCATATTACTTATGCTTTTTCTCCCGAAATGAACTTTGGACAATTTTTAATGGAATTTTCTCCTTCTTTGAGAAGGATTATTCATAATTTGAAAAAGACGATCAGTTAAAATTAATCGGCATGGAATTTCTATCATTTTCAATAGCATTTGATTTAAAGAACACACACTCACATACACACATACACACACACACACACGCACACACACACACACACACACACACACACACACATATATATATATATATATATATATATATATATTATGAAATGGACAAAGTCCGACAATTATTTCAAGATATTTTTATGTTTATACATTATTTTTATAGATAAAAATATTTAAATAAATGCTCTGTTTATAATAAACAGTATTAACAACATTTACTGGCCTATAAACAGTATTAAACAACATTTACCGGTCTGAATGCCCGAGAAATTGTCATAGAAAATATATTCGTACTCTATATTAGCATTTATCATCTGAAAAGAAAAAAAATTATTATATCGCATGAGAAATTGTATAAAAAACTAAATAAAAGCACCTTGTCTGTCGTATTCAATGAAATGTGCATGAAAGATGGATTGCTGCCTAAATACTTTATATATATATATATATATTGTTACGAACTTGTAGCATATAGATGAACCACGGGTTCTAAAAAAAAAGGAAAACGTGGTTTCTTTTTCTCGGTCTTCACTCAGAAATGGAAGCGACACAAGGGAATCAACGAAGAACAGACACAAGACGATGGCTTTCAAAATTAAACATTTATTTATAAATATATATATAATGAAACAAAGAAAGAAAAAAAAAGAACATTCATTTAACAAGGGGAGGACATCAGTAAAGAATAGAAGGCGCGAGCGAATACATACATATATGAAAATAGATCGAGCCAAAAGAACCAACTTATCTTGCAGTCGGGCTGGTATCTTCACAAAGTTTTGATTCGCCGAAGCGAGAGTTCTGATGATAAAACAGTATCTTGGCCGGCCGACAATGTTCCTGGATTCTTCTTCTTTTCGCAAGTGTTCGTGGGTCCCCAGCATTTCATACAGGCATTTGGTTGGGTTGATCAGTCAATAGCACCCTTTCAATCACTGGTCGATAGACTTCGTGGTCTTCCTCATCTCAGTGGGCGGTCTGACGATTTTTTGCCCAGCGATGTTCAACTGCCGCTGGTCAGAGGGAAACTGAAAAATCCTTCTTTGGTTTTCGCTGTCCCCACAGACAGTCACGTGGGTTCCCTTCGTCCTTGACCGGGTACGCAGGAGAATAGGGCGCAAATCACGCAGTGTTTGTGTGATGGCCAAAAGTTCAACGCATGCTCCGTACGTCCCGATCACGTGAATCGCAGCATGAGACCCTGATGGTGTCTGAAGTTTACTCATGGTCAAACGCGAAATCTTAGAACCAGGTCATCCTCGCGTCGGGTCACTTCTAAGTTCACGGGCCCTTGTCTGGCGGGTGGAAGAGAGGATAGGGAGAGAAAGAATTTGTGAAGAGAAGAGGGGGGGTATGGCTGATCATAGAATATATTCGCTCGCGAATCGGAAGCGATGGATTAAATTTCTGTTTTATCTATTTATTTATCTTTCTTTTATATCTAACTAATTTTCTCTTTATTTAAGATTTTACTTTAGCCTAACGCCTATATGGTTAATGAAATCGTTGCTACGTGACACCTCCTACCAAAAAAAAAGAAAAATGCCATTAACGGCAGTTTTCTAAAAAAAAAAAAAAGATTGTTTTCGTCCCCGTTTGATCCTCAAAAGCTTATCGATCAGATACAGGACAGGGCGTCAGCACACACGTTGTCGATGCCTCTTATGTGCTGAATAGTTAGATCGTATTCTTGTAACGCTAAACTCCAGCACAGTAGTCGCCTGTTCGTATTCTTCATTTTCCTGAGGAAGGTTAGTGGGTTATGGTCAGTATATACTAAAGTAGGCTGACTGGACGAAGACACATACACTTCGAAGTGTTGTAAACTTAACAAAAGGGCAAGAGTTTCTTTTTTCTACTGTAGAGTAATTTTCTGGTGATTGTTGAATTTTTTGAGAAATAACTGACCGGGTGTTCGATACCATTTGCATCGGTCTGTAGTAATACTGCGCCAATGCCATGGTCACTTGCATCTACAGCTAACCTGAACGGTCGGGTAAATTCAGGAGCTTTGAGGACAGGGTTTGAGCACAATAGGGCTTTTATTTGATCAAAGGATCTCTGACAGTCGGGGGTCCAATCAAATTTGGCTTTCCTCCTCAACAGTTGGGTAAGCGGTGAGGCTATATCAGAGAAATTCTTACAGAACTTGCGATAGTAACCCGCCATTCCGAGAAATCTCCTCAGGCCTTTTACATTGGTCGGGGCTGGGTACTTAACTATACTTTGTATTTTTTGCCTCGATCGGAGTTATCCGCCCATGGCCGACAACGTGTCCGAGATACGTCACTTCTGCCTGGCAGAAATCACTTTTCGCAAGGTTAATGGTGAGATTGGCATGCTTTAACCGATCGAAGACTTTTCGTAGAGATATCATGTGTTCGGCCCAGGTGTTATTGTACACGACTATGTCATCGATGTACGTCTCTACACCAGCCAGATCTCGCAGGCAATGGTTCATCATTCGCTGGAAGGTGGCCTGGGAATTTTTCATCCCAAAAGGCATCACGCGGTATTGATACAGGCCATCCGGAGTCGCGAAAGCAGATATCTCCTTAGCGCGCTCGGTTAGGGGCACACACCAATAACCCTTCAACAAATCGAGCTTCGTAATATAAGTAGCCTTGCCTACTTTATCAAGCCTGATCGTCCATCCTGGGAATGGGGTACGAGTCCGTCTTAGTGACGAAGTTCACCTTTCGGTAGTCAGTGCAAAACCGAACTGAGCCGTCAGGTTTGTCCACTAGCACGCAGGGGAGGACCAACTGCTTTGGCTACGCTCGATAATGCCGTTCTCTAGCATGTAGGCTATTTCTCCACGTAGGATTTCGGCTTTCCGTGGGTTGACTCGGTAGGGATGCTGTTTAATGGGGTGGCATCTCCTACTTCCACATCATGATAAGTAACGGTGGTTTGGTTGGGTACGTCGGGAACAGGCCCTGAAATCCTCGATAAGGAGGCTAAATCCTTCCTCTCCTCAAGGGCTAAATGCGCCAGCTTCGCACTTAGGTCAGCTAGTACCTCAGGTTGTAAAAAGTTTGGTGGGGTGGTCACCTTTCCATAACTTCTCCTCGGATCTCCGTGGGCTCGGGCATAGTGTTAGGCCCACTGATTACTAACACAGGGTCGGTCTTTCCCCGTTCATAGTAAGGCTTAAGCATGTTAATGTGACACATCTGCGTCGACTTCCTGCGATCAGAGGTTCTTACGACGTAGTTGAGGTCACCGGCCTTCCTGACCACTTCATACGGGCCATGGAATCGAGCTTTGAGAGGATGTCCGGGCAAGGGTAATAACACTAGTACTTTATCCCCGACACTGAAATTTCGTTCGACTGTGTCTCGGTCGTATCGATCTTTCATTTATGCTGAACCGACCGAAGGTTCTCGCGGGCCAGTTCACATGCTTCTGCTAGTCGGGTTCGGAAACGTGAAACATATTCCAGCAAATTTTCTGTTACTGGGTCTTCCCGCAACAAACCTTCCCTCAGTACCTTTAAAGGACCGCGGACTGAATGCCCAAATATTAATTCAAATGGGCTGAACCCCAACGATTCCTGTACGGATTCGCGAGCGGCGAACATTAGGAATGGGATACCTTCGTCCCAATCGTGTTGGTGGTCCAGGCAATATGTTCTCATCATGCTCTTCAAGGTGGAGTGGAACCTCTCCAAGGCACCTTGGGACTGGGGGTGATAGGCGCTTGACTTAATGGATTTTATACCCAAACTTCTCGTAACTTGTTGAAACACCCCTGACATGAAGTTGGATCCCTGGTCTGACTGTATCACCCTGGGTAAGCCGACCATGGTGAAAAAAAAAAGCTAACAAGGGCCTTTACTATTTTCCTGGCGGATAGATTTCTCATGGGTATCGCTTCGGGAAACCTGGTCGAGGCGCACATGATCGTTAGCAGGTATTGGTTCCCTAACTTAGTTTTGGGTAACGGACCAACACAGTCTACGATAATGCGACAAAATGGCTCCTCGAAGGCAGGAATGGGATGTAGGGGTGCGATGGGGATTTTCTGGTTCGGCTTCCTACAACCTGGCAGATGTGGCAAGTCCGGCAATGCTCAGACACGTCCCTTCGGATACCCGGCCAGTAAAAGTATCTGACGATCTTATCGTGCGTCTTGTTAACGCCAAGGTGACCCCCAATGGGATCTCATGAGCTGTCCTCATGACCTCCGGTCTGTACCGTTTAGGGAGTACTATTTGGTGGACTGTCGACCAGTCTTCTGAGGCGGAGATGTGCGGGGTCTCCACTTCCTCATTAGTACCTCATTCTTAATAAAGTATCCAGTTGGAACTTTCTCCAACTCATCCTCGGGCAATACGTGACGGAAGAGTGGGGTGAGCTCAGAATCACTCCCCTGCTCTGTTATAAGTGCTCTCCTCGATAATGGAATGTCCATAGCGGGCTCAACAATACCATCGCTATTTCCAGTTGGGTTACTATCGGGAGGATAATTTAATCCCACATCAGGATTTATAAACGTCTGCGATAGGTCTATCACTTCGTCTTCTGTCCTATCGATTATCTCGTTTATCTTTTCATCGGCCTT